CCGGGCCCCTGTGCCCGCCCCTCCCCCCCGCCATCGCTATGGCGGCCCTGCAGCCATCCCCGTCACGACCGTGACCATGCGCTAACGGGCTGTTTCTGCAGCACCTGCGGCGTCCGCGCCCCAGAGCTGGCCCTGAGTGCACCCCACTGCACACTCAGGGCTGGGCCTGCGAGTCTCGGGCAGCTTTGACAGTCAGGGCCTGCCGCGGTGCTCAGCGAGTACCTGCCCCACGGATGGCTGAGTGCGTGATGACAACCCTGTGCGGTTGTGCAGTGTGTCCCGCTGGGCTCTCACAGCCACACTGGGCCCCCGCAGCGGCTGACCCAAGGCCCCCCGAAGCCTTCGGCTGTGCTGGCAGCACTGGCCCTGGGGCCCGCGGGCTAGGCTACGAGGCAGCCCTGCCACGTGCTGCCCACTACTCAGTCATCCGGGCTGGAACGGGGGCGGGGAGCACCTGTGTTCCAGAAGTTGGTGCAGGTCGTCCAGGGCAGCTGGGAGGTGAAGGAGCTGAACAGGTAGAAGAGGGCCCAGGCGAGGATGATGATGTAGTAGACGTTCAGATAGGATTCGATGACCACGGACGCCAGGCCGATGCCTTCCAGGGCAGGGCGGAGGTGACGAGAGAGCCCGGGAGATGGGGTAGCAGGGTCACACCGTGGGCAGGCAGGGTGGAGGTGACAGGAGAACCCGGGAGATGGGGCAGCAGGGTCACACCGTGGGCAGGCAGGGCGGAGGTGACAGGAGAACCCGGGAGATCGGGGTAGCACAAGGTCACACCGTGGGCAGGCAGAGGCCTGTGGTGGCACAGTGGACCGGCCCAGAAGGCCCACTTCCACCCGAGACCTCCCGTACACCCCGGCCTGCACCTCATGCCATGACCTGGGCTGGCTGAAGCTGGGGTGGACCGCAGCATGAAGACGCTGCTGAGAGGGCCTGTCTCTCTCTCTCTCTCTCATGGGAAAAATAAATAAAATTTTAAAAACAAAACAAACAACAGTCACGTAGCAGCTGCCAGTTCTGGCTACAAGGGTGCTGGGTGCCGCGGGGAGGGACACTGGGTCTGCCCGCTGGCACGAGAAGCCACGCGCAGTGCGGTTTTCTAGTGAGAAAGGCAGGTCGGGAGGGCCATCCTCTGCATCCCCTCGTCCCTGGGAGAACATTCGAGTGCACAGTTCTCATGAGAAAGACCGCACAAAGCGTCTTCCAAAAGTTAACAAGTGGCTCTCTAGGGGTAGGATTTAGTGAACTTTTTCGAGTTTTTTCTTTTTTCCGTCCGCATGCTCTAACTTTTCTGTCTTTCCTTCTTTCTTTCTTCTTCTTTTTTTTTTTTTTAAATAGGTTTTTTTTTGTCATAGGGAGTGTGTGCTCGCTGGAGAGAGACAGAAAGGAAAAGTGAGAAGTCACACCCCCATGGTGGGGGGGGGCAGCACGTCACAATCCCTTCTCTTCCATGCTCCTCTGTGGATTTGGGGCATGCACACACACCCGGTGTGACTTTCGAGCTGCCCGATCCAGGGCTCAAACTGTGGCCAGTCATGTGGGAGTCCAGCGCCGTAGCCACCACGCCGCCCACCCCTGCCCGTTTCCTATCAGTTATTGCTTGTAAGAGGAAAGGGCGCAGGGGCCAGCAGGAGGCGTGGTGGTGAGGGTCTGGACTCCCACGCGATCACCACGATCGAGTCCTGGGTTTAGCAGCTTGAAAACATCACACTGAACATGTGCACGTGTGTCCCGAACCTTGTGCTCTGTCTCTCTCTCTGACGAGCACACATGCCGTCATGGCAGAAAAAACTCAAAAAAAAAAAAAAAAAAAAAGGCAAGGGGGCAAGAAGGAGAAAGGAAAGCTGGGAGGGGTCGGTATGAGGCTGGGAGCAAAAGCCAGAACCGGTGAGGAAGGGGAAGCGGGCGGCCCCTGGTCAAGAGCCCTGAGCCCCGGTCAGCACAGAAGACCCTCACCGGGAGCAGGGAGCAGGCGTCCCCAGAGGCGGAAACCCTAGCCCGCACTTCTGTTTTCAACTTGGGAGAGTCCCACAGTGGGCAGGGCACACCTGGCTCCCCGGGGTGGCAGGGCACACAGGCAGGGGCACTTCTGCCAACACCCCCTTCACCCCACACATTCCTCACTTTGCCACAGTCGTTTAGAAGTAGCAAGTTGCTGGGGGGCTGGCAGCCCTGCGGTGTGAAAGGCAGCTGGGCAGGTTGGGGCTCCCACGCCCCCACTCTCTGCCTCTCGTAGCTGACGCTCA